TCACTAATCGAAATGATATATACAGATGGAGAGTTTCAAGAAGTGGGCGTTGCAATTCAGCCTGATCCGGCAAAAAAGTGAATGTCCTGTTACAGAGCGTGGAGGCTTTGCTAATTGCTCTGTCAAAACCTTTTGCAAGGACCACTTTCCAAATATCACACCAGAGAACGAGCTGGATCATACTCTCGAATACGTGAAAAATGCGCTGACTTCAATTTTTTCGGCTCGCAAAGTGAGAATCTACGCGCTCGATGACGTTAGCCAAAAGCTTGTCATTAAGGTACTCCCTTCTCTATAGATGTCTATGTTATAAAGCTTTCTGATTTTGTATGTCTTGGGCATCAGTTTTCAGACGAAAAACTGTCGAAGAGAAGTGTAGACCTGTTGTCAAGTACTGGACAGCAAGTTCTCGATAAGGGGGGACCGATTTGTGTTGAGAACGCGGCAGCATTGCTGAGCGACGAGATCGATGAAAATGACGTGGCACGAGAATTGTATCACCCAGATACTATCATTCTCGCAGCTCCATTTCTCGAGTTTGATGCTATGCAAACGAATGGCAGATCAATAGGGACGGCCAAGGTTGTGGGTGTTCTGGAGATTGTCATTGAACCGAGCGACCTTGAAGGTGATGTTAGCTCAGCCACCAGCAACGATTTCTGTATCCTTGAATTTGTCACTGAGGAGATTGGTCGTTATCTCTTTTTCCACTACGAACGCTTCTTTGACGTGTCGTCACTAGCCCCGACACAGCCACTCCCAACAGGGAGCAGCGAGTTGGGAAACACAGAGTTGTTTCCTTCACCTCCCGAAGGTCCAGTTTTGCAGGATCATCGACACCTCGTTCTTAACATCGGCAAGGTGAAATTGAGTGTTCCAGAGACTGTTACGCTCGCGAAAATTAGTATCCAGCATGGATCTACAGTTCTGTACGAGACCAGCACATTGCTGCGGTATGAATCCCACCGCGATTCTCATGGAGATAAATCGCACCTGTCTTCTCGTGAGGTCAGTTGCGATCCAAGCAGTGGCATTGAAATGGGTTTACGTCTGATCGATATGCCCCATGGTTCACATTTAAAGTTAACCTTCACTACTAAGACAGGAGACGTGGTTGCGTGGAGTGGACTCCACTTATTCGACTTCGGACATACCTTACGAACCGGAACTACACTCATGGATATCGTGGTGCTTCCTACTGGATCGGGGATTATCACGCCTCTGGACATTGAGAACTGCTTGCGTCATGATAAGCTCAACCACCAGAGAGTTGGTAGTATGGAGATCACCTTGGAATGTTCAGGCTCGTGTCCTCAATCGTTTGCTTTCTCGAGTATTTCGACTAAGAAGAAGAGCATCGCCTTCCGAGCGTCTATCTTTTTCAAGCGCGACAGTGAGCGGAAGTCAGGAGCCCACGAGACCCCGTCCTTAGAGAATATTCCAATGGACAAGCAGAAGCTCTTACAGCGACTGAGAAGAGATCCTCTCGTTGATTTGTTTATTGAGGATCGGACGTTCATTTGGACTTCACGGTTGATGTTGATGGAAGATTCGGCACTGCTTCCAGCGTTTCTACTGTCTGTAGATTGGGGCAATCGAGAGCAAGTACTGGAAGCGTATCGGTTGCTGTTGCACTGGAAACAACCGACTTATCTGCAAGCTCTTCAGTTACTGAGTCCGCTCTATTCGGACCCTAAAGTGCGCGCTTACGCTGTCCGCTGCATGCACGCACTGCCCGATTATCGACTGCAATTGTATCTCCTCCAACTAGTTCAAGCACTAAAGAACGAGCGTTACCACGATTCAGCACTTGCTCGGTTCTTACTGATGCGTGCACTAACGAATCCGCCACAAATCGGTTATTTGCTGTATTGGTTCCTCAAGGCGGAATCGCACAACCAGCAAACAGCAGAACGCTTCAACCTCATCTCGTCCCAATATCTCCAGCTTTGTGGGAACTACAAGTTAGAGATCCGTCAATCGGTATACGTAATGAAGAAACTCGAGGAGGTCGCTGCAATCGTGAAGGGTGAATCTTCATCAACAGCTCGTAAGGAGAAGCTGCACAAGGCGTTGGAAGCTGTCGTCTTTCCTGACACATTCCAGCTCCCCCTTCAACCAAGATCCTACTGCACCCGCGTCATTGTGGAGAATTGTCGAGTAATGGAATCCAAGAAACGTCCACTGTTCTTACAGTTTGAGAGCGCCAAGGCTCAACATGGACGACCGTATGTGATCTTCAAAGCTGGTGACGATCTCCGTCAGGACCAATTGGTGCTGCAAATACTTCGCGTTATGGATGATCTATGGCGAGAGGCTGGACTTGATCTTTGTCTATTACCGTATGCCTGCATCTCCACGGGTGACGAAATCGGTATGATTGAAGTAGTTGGAGACGCAGAGACACTGGCGAGCATCATATATGCTCGTCATGCAAAGTCGATAACTAAACTCGGCCGGAAACTCAATGCAGCGAGAGATGCGCTTATCAAGGACGGTGTTCTATCGGATTGGTTGTTCAAGCAACCGAGCTCGCCGAAAGATAAAGTTAGAGCCACCTCTGCGGACGTTGCGCTTGATTCTGTATCTCCAACCGGTTCAGCTAGCCCAGCGAAGGAAGAGCGTGCTCGATCGGTTTCCTCGTGTTTTCCAATTTCTCCTCGTCGACGTAAAAAATCAACGTCTACTCGAGATTTCGAGACAACGCAGAATTTCGTACGTTCCTGTGCAGGATACTGTGTGGCTACTTACGTTCTGGGCATCGGAGACCGTCACAATGACAATATCATGTTACAGCGCTCCGGTAAGTTTTTCCACATCGACTTTGGACATTTTCTGGGAAACTTTAAATCGAAGTTGGGCGTGAAGCGTGAACGTGCTCCGTTCGTGTTCACTCCCTCGATGTTGGATACTATGGGAGGAAAGAAAAGCGAGAACTATCAACAATTCCAGAAACTCGCTTGCGAAGCGTTTCAGGTGCTGCGTACCAACGCGAATCTGCTCGTTACGCTGCTGGTTTTGGCACTTACGTGCGGCATTCCAGAGCTTCATAGTGCTAATTGCATTAAGTGGGTGCACAAGACTCTCATGCTTGACCTGCCAGACGATGAGGCCTGTGAAGCCTTCAAGAAGCTCATCCACGTGGCACTACACACTACCACCACCAAGCTCAACGACGCTGTGCACCTCATGGCGCACTAAACATCGCCGAGTAAAGTTACACCGAACTACACATCCATAAAAAATACTTGAAATGTAATTCACTACGCGGATTGCTTCACCTTATCAGACACAATAAAACGTCATTACCATCATTCTCGTTCTCTTCCCTCTTGTAGTGGGTACCGTACCGTTCGATACAGTTTTGCAATAAAAGTGCGTCACCAATTGCATCCAACAAAAAGTGCTTGTGCCATCAATTCCCAACCGCAGACGAAAAGCTACTCAAAGATGCAGGACGAGGTGGCGCAGCGTACCGTGCT